GACTTCTTTCCTCAAAGCATTTCCTCTTACGAAATGCAGCAAGGTACAGCAGTACCTCAGCGAGTACCCACTTAAAATTGGGTCTTCATTCTGTCCAACTGCTGAGAAAGTAACCGAAATCATTACCATGTCTGGCTGCATGTTTGTTAATGATACAAAGAGCTCTGTGTGTTCTCATCATTAACTTCCATTAACTGTTTTCCTGCCTCATTGAATCCTGCGTTAATTGTGCAACAGTTATAAGATGAAAGCATCCTGCTGTGGAGCCTGATCATTATGTATCAACTCAATTTTTGACTGTGGTGGATGACCTAAACCCCTTTGATGTGTAATACAATTAATAATAAATGTTTTATGTTAAAGAATAAAGATTAAAATATTGCTCTGATCCATATTACACAATATGATTTTTTGTTTTTTTTAGGTTGGATAGCAATGTGGCATAGTTACAGTAAATGCCAGTTTGTTATTGATAAAGAATCTTCTCTATCAATTTCAAATCAGTTATTAACTACATTTAAAAAAATAAATTTTTATACTAATGTCAAAGGAGGACAAAATACGAGACAGGGAAGTTAAACTGACTGTTGTATGCATAAGTGTGTGCATGCTGGGTCTGAGAATTAATTTGTGAGATTGAAATGGGAAGATCTAATATTTTCTGATGATATGTAGATGGGCTGTAGCACACTAACAACTGCAGTCAGTCCCATGAGCATTTTTCTGGTAAAAATCCAGGAAGAAGTCAAGGAATAATCAGAATTTAACTTGGTATAATAGCACTGATTAAAACTAGAGATGCACCACTAACAAAATAAAAAAACAATGAACGAACACAGATGGCTGAGAAACAAACAAAGTTATCTCTGAGCTGAAATGAGTTAAATTCCTCTTATGACAAAAAATGTGAATGAGGCAAAGGGGAGTAGAAAGCTATAGGCACTACTGAAAAACTATCAACCATTTCACTTTAAAGCTGAAGGAATAGTGGAAATCTTAGGGCAAAAGGGAGAATCACTGAGGACAACATCAAATACTAACATGAGTCTGTTTTTTTCTAACTGATGAAGAACATAAGAACAAAATAATTTCCTTAAGAAGCTAAAAACCACTGAAGCATGTTAATGAAAAAATACATTTTAGATCCTCCCATTATACAGCAGGACACATTTCCTATTACATGGAAACTAGTGGTTGTCATTCATGTTATTAAATGTTGAGATCACGCTGGAGCCAGTATTTATAGATAAATGAATAGAATTATCGTTGAACAACTGACAAACATCTTAATATGCAATTTGGCCTCAGAATAAACCACTGCAACAGCCACTGTTGTAAAACATAAGCTCACTATAGTGTTGTTTTAGATATTTCTACATGGATATAAATCATTTATTTCATTTAATGACAGTGCTTTGTTTTCATAATTGAATTTAAAATATATATGATGTGTTAAAGCCAGTAATCTTAAACAGCATGACGTGTGACATACTGTATAATACAGTCCACAGAGATCAGTTAAATGACATCATATTTAACCTGTACATAATACATGATCTGTGCATAATACATGATAATATATACGTACATGATCTCCCACATCACTGTTCTGTGGTGTAATTAAAGTATAGGAAATATATGCTGATGACACAGTTGTATACTTGCTAATGCTGCAGAGGCACTTCAAAGCCACAGAGAAGATAGCTGTCATGCTTTAGCCTGGAGATTAGCAAAACTGATTCTCTACAAAAAAAAACATTATTCTCTAATCATGCTCTGGTCTAGTTTTAAATAGATAAAAATGACAAATTATCTAGAGCAGTTTAGTAAAGACAAAGTAGATAGCTAAGTCCCTACTGGGGCAGATATTTCTGCATTACATGAATCTTTTCTTTTAATCCTTTGATGAATCAATTCAGGAGTAAATGATAAATAATGAAATGATCATTCTATGATTCATGATCCATAATAAATAAAAGTTAAACCACAAGGTTGGAACCTATGACTCCAAAGTGTCTTATTGACAGGGCTTGTAAAACATGGACTACTTTAGAAAATGCCTAAATCAAAGTTACTAATCTTTCCTGATGCTGTTAAAGATTTGTTTAGGTCAGTGGTTTTAATAAAACAGTGGACTTATACCACCATATTCATTCACAATCATCATCATTGATCCAGGAGTATACAGAACCTGTGTATATGTAATATATCTTTTGGAAAATAAGGCAACATAATAACATCCCCACACTAAACACCAGAGGCAATACTTCCTCAGTTTCAGAGTTTCAGATGTAGAGGATAATCAAACATGCAATTAGTGCTGACTACTACCGGGTGTGTGTCATAGACTGTGGTGTGTGTATGTTTTGGTCTTACTGGAGTTCATATTTCTTCTCAGTGAGTGGTATAGTGTATGTGCTGTTGTTTTTTATTATAACCTGCCAAGGGAAGAGAAATCTGCTACAATACACCAGATGACAAAATATGCCCAGTCACTAAAATCAAGAGTTGATATCATTCCTCTGCAACACAAGTATCTTTTTCACTCTTTGATTTAAACCTTCTCATAGTCTATATTCTATTTTTAATGACTGTAATATGGAGCATGGTCAAAAAAGTGACTTTAGCAGCATTAAATCAGCCTTCAAACCATCAAGTACCAACTGAGGGGCTTCTAGATAGAAATGAATCTCTTTACAAGTAATTTCTCTCTACTAATTTCCCCATAGAGTTCAATAAAAAAAATTAATAAGGAGGAACAGCTGATAAAGGGACCCATGTATGAAGCTTCATTCCAGGAGTGTTACGGTTAGAGGATGATTTGGTACCGCAGACCCTTTTTGATTTGCAGTAATTTAGCCAACCATTTATTCCTAATCATAGCAATAATTAAGAGCAGGAGGAAGTTTAGAGCGGGAGTTTTGTTCCAATACTCTGATGGATATAAGTTGTTTAATTGACTGAAAGAAAAGGATTTGTGATTCTATGAGTCATTCCTTAATTAATGTAAGTTTCCTGTGCAAAAAGCTGCAGATTTATATGTGTAGTCTGTGTGTGTATATATATACACATAACACTAAAATAACACTAAAAGCCAAGAGATTACAGGAGCACAGTGTCCAAAATGTGTTGTTCTGCTGGCATTTAGTGCTCAGGGTAGAAAATATGTTAGTTGGTGGATGCTTTTATTCAATGTCTTACATAGCATGGTTACCCCCATAGGACTGCTTAGCGACATTGCTGCAAAAAAAGAAGACACCACAACACATCTCTTTGACCTTCACAAGCAAAAGTTGTTTATAGGTCTCCACCACTGTCCACATGAGATGTCAGAAGATGAAAAACAGGCGTGGTGTTGGCTACCAGAGATATGTAACAGCATTATTCACACACATTCACACATCCACCAATTTCTCCGTCTGGCACCTACATATTGATGATTGTCGTATCAAAGCAATGGGTTCCCTCTGAGCGTTCTGAGCATCTTATTTGTCTGACAGGATCCTATTCCTGGAACATTGTGCACTGACCAAGGTTATCATTTGTAAACTAAAAGGAACAGAATTCCCTTTTAGTCACTGTGGGGTCGCATAGCAACTCATTTTGTTACATGAAGTAGAGGTGAATGTGTTTGTGTGCCTGTTTTGAGTGTGTGCATTTGTCTGTGTGTGTGTGCTGAATGGAAGACCTACCTGATTGCCCAACTGCAAGAGACATTTATGACAATGTAAAAGCTTGTGTAAACGTCATTTGTACCAGTTATTATGGAGGGAGTGGTGGATAGTTGCGCTGCAGTTCAGTGGGGGTTCTGCCAAGCTAACAATTGATCATGGTAAGGTTAGAAGGCGGAGTAGATGGGCTGTCAGAATCCTATAGATATTCAGGTCCTCATTACTGGGGGTCACAGCATCTATGCCCTGCATGTTCAGCCGAGTCGCTTGAGTGCTCATGCACTAACAGCCAAGCTGCACTGTAAGCAGAGCCCTCTCTGTGTCCCCATTACGTTGCTTCACTTGTGAATTCTGCAGTTCCTGAAATCTGTCCTGGATTGCCAATGGGTTGTGATTCAGTTTTAAATGCCAAATCTTGGTTCTAATTATTCTTGATACCTTCTTCAAATATGAAAATTAGTTTGTCTGTGAGGACTGTACAGCCTAGCTCATGGGTCTTTCTTAACATTTAAATGTGAACAAGTTGTGAAACCATTACAGTATTCCTTGTGAAAGACAGCTTTTTAGCATGTCTGTGTGTCACTGAACAGAATGGAATATTTCCTGCAACTTTATCCCAGGGCTGTCTTAAAAAACTATTTCAAGTAATGGTGAAAGAGCCAAAAAGTTGGCCTTCACATATAAATTATAAATTACAGTCTTGTCCTGAGCCTTCACAAGGTTAGAGCAAGGATGCGGATGAGGAGTAGGACTGTGGATGCATTTTATTTGCTCTACAAAATGGGGATAAATGTTCTATTCTTAGTGATGATTCATGACTTTACTTAATGCAGAAGCTCCCGGAGTGGAGCCTGGAGACCACCTGGGTTAGCTGGAGGGGCTCCCCAGGAAAAAGAAGAACAGTTTGAATCCATGGTTATAATGAAAGTGTATTAAGAAGTCTTTATTTGTCCTGCGTTGTCTTTCCTACTTCCTGTCAAATCTCTTAAATCATAATTTACTGACAAAATCACCTTAGGCAGAGTTTCCTTAAGCAAAATCGTTGCAAATATGGGTCCATTGCCTCTTTTTAGCAGGTGCTGAATGTAAACAGGGAAATAAAAATGTCAGATTTGAGATCTCCCTTGTGCGTAGTGCATTTTTTTTCAGAGGCTGCAGGACTTGAGGGGCAGGAATGAATGGACACAGCAGCGAGTGTAGCCGAGTGAATCCGAAAATCCTGCTGATCGACCTGTATTTGTTTTCTCCACAGAGGCAGAAAGAAGCGTGACTGTGAGGGGAGAGACGTAACAACCCCCTACCTTCCACAGCTCCTTCTGTGGGGGACTGTGTACAGGCTTGTGCTTACGAAGCAACTTGCAAGGGAAAAAAAAAGAAATTTTCCTTGCAAGGAAAGAAGAAATATTTCTTTTAGGTCGCCTTCTCGCGTGCACGCAGCGACACTGAACACTTGAGCGAAGCTGACGTTAACCCGTTAGCAGCGAGACACGGGAGCTGCCACGAATAGATCCGGTATCCACGACCCCGGTCGGCCGACCAGGATAGGACCTCGTGTTCCTCCGGCAGTGGAGTCGGATCTTTTTCTCCTCTTCTTTCACTCCCGGGGGTTGGTTCTAAATCTTCTGTCTTGTGGCTGTAAATTACATGAAGTGGATTTTTGTGCTTGCAACAAACTGAAGACGGGACTAAACGTAGCTGGTTCGGAGAAGGAGAGAAATGCCAACGGCGGTGACAAAGAGGAGATTCAGTAAGTGCACCGTTATCTTTTTTGAATGTCCCCCATTGAACTTGAGACGCTGCTCTTTGCGTTACCCTTAGCTAACTTTCTGAAATTGTGCTTACCGCATTGGCTTATTTGTTTGTTTAGCGTTGCTTTGTGAACTGAAAATACTTTAGAAATGCTTTTTTAAAGGTGTAACGTTAACGGTTAAATATTGTAAGTCAGCTCCGTCTGGCAAAATCGGGCTCAGGCTAACGTCAGACAGCCACGCACACAGTTTGTTGCTGTTTTTATTTGCGCTAACTCTCAATGTATAGCGAACAACTTTTATTTCGTAGCCGAATGAGAGCAGATAATAATAAGTCTGTCCGACAGAGTCGCAGACATATCCAGTCTTCGTTTAACGAAACACACACAGAAATTACGGTGACTGGGGAAAGAGGAGGCAGAATATCGTTCTCAATCACTTAATTTCACAAGTGCTTTTCGGTATACAGACCTGCGCAGAGTTGGCGATAAACTGAGCGCAGGCACTTTTCAGTGAGCAAATTGACGTAGCTGTAGTCCTTGCATGGATGAAAGCTTCAATCAAGCAGAAAATCTGTCCAGAATCACTAATGAATTAATAAATAGGACCAGTGGTGGCCTGTGGGGCGTGAGCCTGTCGCCACTCTTTTTTTTCCTTTTTTCTTTAAAAAAAAAAAAAAAATCTAATATGTGATAATTCTCTCCGTTTTTGGCCTTACATTGAAAATAATTCGCCATAAGGTGCCATAGCTCCCTCCAAACCTGGCTTTTCACTTCATGTGTGCGCGTGCACGAGCGCCTGAACGCGCCCGGCATATGAAATCTTTGCTGTTTCTTTATTTATCATGACCAGAGACAGGTATTTGAGCACTTTGTATGTTCATCAGCTGCAAAAGCCCCTGTCATGTATGTGTTCATCTGCCCTAAAAAAATCACTATTGCTGCAGCACAGGCTGCAGAGACAGGTTTGATGTCATGAATTTGCTCCTTGCAGCTGAGGCAAAGGCATAAATTTCATTTAATTATCCATTGGAGAATTCAATTGTATAGCCATTTTTTGTGACAGCTTTTACAGGTGTGTCACTTCATGGAATAGCCTAAAGCTCTCTTAAGGTATTGAATAAATCTGAAAAGGGGGGTGGGGGTTCATTGGGTGGATATACAGAAAGATTCTCAGCATTGCATCAAGCCTGCAGCCGTCTTGGGTTTATTTAAAAAAAAAGGGATTGGAAGCAATTTTGCCGGGTGAGTGACATGCTGAAGTAGCCTCATGGCCATCCTTTATCAATACATAAGTCCGATTATAGCTGTCACAGACACAATGAGGAGACCTAACCATGAGCCAAACTGTAACAGGATGATACAGGGTGGGTTAGTTTCTTGGAATTGCATCAGAGGCTTTCTGCAACTGAATCCTAGGCCCCGCTGCATGTTTGGGTTTCTAACCTTCACCTCCTGCCAGTTGAAAAGAAAGTGACATGGTGTATTTCTATTCTAGATTTAGGGTAATTTGATATTTAACTGTCCTGTAGGCTGTAGCCCAGACAGTACTACTGTATGAGGCCTCGAGAGTCAGTCTACTGTAAAAAACTATGGCTTCAACATGTTGGTTATTTCATCGACATGAGTGTTTGTCTCCCCAAATACTGATTTGTGGAAACAGAGACACAAATACTGATTTGTGGAGACATAATGTAATTTATTTTGCAAAGCAGGTGACTCTGGAGCTGCTTGAATCTAGGATTCAGTTGTTTGTGTGGCTGTCTGCTGAATGGATATTTTATCATTAAAACCTGTGTTGACAGGCTTTTTAGGTGCCATGCTGCTCAAGCATTAAGATTTTCTTCAATCATATTGGCTAGATATTGTAGTGAAGCTTCAGGGTTTCCTTACTGTGTTTATTCTGGTTTATTCTCTCTTTTGTGGGCTGTGATTATATAATGAATCTTTGACTTATTGACTTTTTCCTCTAAAATACATTAATATTTTTCAACAGGTTTTAAGCATTAGTAAATGCTGGTGTTTATTTGCTGAATATTGGCACACAACCTCCAGCTATTAGCCCTGCTTTATACTCAAACCACTTCAAAACAAAAATGATTCAAGAGAAGACATTTGATTTACTTGACCTAATCCCCATGACTCCTGAGGGATAACAGGGTGACCCACAATGGATCACTACATCTTTCCTCTTTTGTTTCTTGCCAGACGAGTCAACATTCATTTGGTGTTTATGTGGGGAGTTTTTGGAAAGACTACCTGGGCCCTTAACTGGTGATGTCATCCGCTAGGCATACATAGGTTACATAGAAACAATTAACTAAACAGCTGCTTACTGACATTGCAGCCTCCTCAACTGTAATGTTTGTACCATTGTTTGACACATGGCAAACATAAAAAGTCAGGTCTAATTTAAAGCCTGGATGTTTTTCACAATATAAATTATAGTTTGTTAAAATATAACTAAAGAGATAGATCAACATTTAGTTTTTTTTCTCAACTGATTATAACTCAAACATGAGCCTGTTTTACTATAATTTATTTTCCAATGATGTAAATAAATCTTCAACAGTATCAGAAGACATAATGGTTTCAGTTGTTGTTATTATTTCTTTTACGGAAAAACCTGAATTAAGTGACACCATTAACCAACTAACTGACCAAATAGATTTTCTGCTAGTTGACCTGGCTACACCCCTGACCTGTCTGAGCATTTCTATGTAGTTGTTTAGGGTATTTCCTAGCAGGTCTGGTCTAGGGCTAGTAGCCAGAGCATCTGCCTCAGCTTCCTCATTTGCTGGTGCTCCCTGGCAGGGGCCGGGCTGAATGGCACTGTTAAAGAGCTCCAGCTCCTCTGTGGCCACACGCTGAAAAACCACTCGGCACAACCCTCTCCCAGCTGACGCTTTCTCATGCTTTCCATATGGGTAAAATCTTTGTAATTTCAGGGCCCTGGATTTCTAATGAGAGGTTGTGCCCATAGTATGTTGGTCTGTGGTGGGCGGGATCAGCGTTTCTCGGGTTTATAGGGGATTATAACTGCTCTGAGATGCCTCACTGGCCCACTGTCAGGGCGTTGGCACAGAAAAACCAAAACTCTTTTTAACCAGGCAGACTGGATCAAACTGGTTGCTTTGGTATGGGGGTTACAGGAGCCAGGCTATAAGCTTAAGTTTACATTCAAGGCAGCAAATCAGGTCAGTTAATGTAGGCTTCAAGATTCAGATTCTGCCACAGATACAAAATGTGCTGATTTTCTGCTTAGACATCAGGATGTTTTTCTCTTTCGTCTGTAAGGCCTCGAGCAGATGCTATTGTCCTGTTTAGCATCCCATCCCCACATAGAGACAGGGTGCTCTTAGCAGCACGCTTGGTGGATTTTTAACAATGCTTGTTCCTTAACGTCAGCAGCATAGAGGCAAAGAGTGATTTACTACTCTGTCTGCGAGGGTAATGTAGGAGCAATTTGACTGCTGATTGAAACCAGGTCTCCCATTTCAGAGTCCACTGGTGGCATTATAAACCATTTACACCCATGTTTTACTGGACACCCCTGCAATGGGGAAAGTGGAAACAGACACACAGCCTAAAAATGGCCTGCGCTACCACGAGAGGCCTATTTTTATCCATTCCTTGTGTGATTTGTTGTTTTTAAGTTCAAAGTATGTTAGTGCTGCTGAGTGAAGTAGTGAATATGGATGAAACTGAAAGGTCAAATGTTAGGTTAATCAGTTGTGTCTGTTTTTCATTTAAGCCTAAGGACCTCCTAGATATAGGGGTCCTTCTGCTTTGAATTATACAGCCTTCTCTGTACGTGGTAGAGCTTTTTTCTCCAGCCGTTATGTGTGAATCAGAACTGTGGTCGAAAAATCTGTTGCAAATTGGCTCAGGCAGATTGCTGTGTCAAGACCTTGGGACATTTTTGCACTTGTTCTGTATCAACATTTGTTAGAAGGTAGCCATTACATAAATGCACCAAGCAACTATAATTATTTTTTACCACCTAAGCCTTAAAAACACACACAACTCATTACAGAGTCAGGAGTGCTGCTGAAGAGCGAGATTAGCAAACTTCTTTAGAAGAAAAAGTGTTGGGGCTAACGAGTGAAGGATGTTGGAATTTGATGGCTGAACCATTAGGATGTCAGTATTCTGTTAATGCCACTGTTAATGACTAAAATTCAACATTAGCTGCAGCTGCTTCAAAGTAAAAGCCTTCAGGCAAAGATAATTGACTATGCCTAAAGAGTGTATTCGGTGGCAGTCATTAGTGGTGCCATACCTTAATTTTATTAGGTTTGGAATACGGTTTGTTTGGTAAGGATGGTTTTCGTCTGCATTTGGATATTTTCACTTTTTGTGTATGTGAACTGATTACCATTTTATAAGTGATTAAGTGTAGATACCACTGTCAATACAACCCATGCTGCCATTAGATGGAATTAAATTAGATTGGATTTTTCATGCACATTCAAAATGTAGAAATCAGAGATAAGAAGTAGGTCAAGGTTTCAAGTCATCATTTTATTACTTGCAGACAGCTCAAACATATCACTGCTCTTTTTGCTGTTGAAAGATTTTTTGATGTGAGAAATGGAACTTACAGACAACTGTGGGATATCATACACACAATGTGCCATTAGCTGCCCATTTGTATTCATAACAAGGTCTGTAGTGAGAAGTAGAAACTGTTGCTATTCATCTGCCGTCCCTGTGATCTCAGATGGTCCTTGATGGCTTTGCATTCTCACCACACAGACCATCTAATTAAAACTTTTAACCACCCAACACACAACAGTGGATTGTTTTTAGGTGTTGTAGTCTTTTTTATTTATTGTTTAGCCTTGTTTCCCATATTAGGCTTCTGCGTATCCAGCTGCTTCCTCCACTGAAGGTGAAGAATAATTATGTGAAACAATTCATTTTGCATAGAATGCAAACTGCAGCTGTAAATGCTGTAAATGTCAGAAAGTTTTTGTGATTTTAGGCCATTATTGTTT